TGAAAGACAGAATTTATGTAGAAAAATCCTATCAACAAACATGCCAACTATTAGGTGTTAAGTTAGAGTAGAATCTTGTAAATAGCTTTGTATTGACTCCATTTTATCACCTTATATGGTACATGTCATAAAGTAATGACATAGAATGTTTCTGTACTCACTTTTTCTCTGCAATGTCTAAGTCTTTCCTGTGATGGTCCAATGCTTGATCCATCTTACCCATATCTAAATAAGCATTGCCCATACAACTGTGTAGATTACCCATAACATCAGGTTTGCTGCTCTCAGATAAGTCCTCTTCATTCAGCTTTTTAACTGTAGACATTGTCTGTTGTGATAATTTAAGTGCATCTTCAGGCCTGCCTTCCGCTAGTGCTGTAATTATAGTACATATGTAATACAGCATTTAATAGTGCTCATCATTTATAGTGCTTCTATTCTATTCTATTCTATTCTATTCTATTCTAGGTCTAAATAGATAGTAAGCTAATGATCTATGGAATTATTATTATTTGAATGTAATTTCAATGTGATTAAAAGACAGTGGTTGTGAAGCGTGTGTGTTTACACACATTGTATACACTGCTATGGGACCCATATTGAACACAATTGTGCAAAGACCATCACCCTTTAATAATCTGAACAACTTCTGAAAAAAGTGAATGTTTCTATGCATTTAATGATTTAATAATTTAATAATTTATCAAAATAAAAACTCAATGAAAAAAGATTTATTTAACTGATCACTAGCTTAAAGCAATGCAGTGTTTGATATAGATAGAGTTAATAATTAATAACTAAAAAAAAGTAAGTAAACGAAAGTTGAGTAAATAAAAAGTAAAATAAGTGTGACTGAGTGTATTCTTTTGTTTATTTGATATATGAGTGATGAAAACAATGCATGTCAAAATAAATTATTTATAAAAAATTTCAATTCAGCATATGTTTTTTGTCAACATCAACAAATTATCAGATTTCACCGAATAATCCAGGTTGCATTTGAAGAAATCTTGATTGTACTATGTGTATATAATTGGGGAGTGAAACACAAATACAGGGCATGTTCTATGTAGGATTTCAAAATCACTGCCTTACTTGCAGGTTTTCATTGTAACTTGACATCTTTTCAAACAATACTTACCTTCATCAACTTCATCTAACTTTTTAAGTACGTAAGAAGTAGGATTTGATGGCTTTTGTTTGTCTTTAGATTTTCCTTTCCCTTCCTCTTTATCCCGCTTCCTGGCATACATCGGTTTCTGTTGTCTCCAGAAATCTGTCCTTGTGTCTAAGTAATGAAGGCCATCATTGACTAGATCGTATATTTTCTGTCCACTTTCCGTGTCTTGATTGGTAAGGTCTGAAAATTAGGATGAAATAATAAGAACAAGATTATGAATCAATATCTTATTATAAATATACAGGCATTATGCTAAAAAGTGACACATTGACAATTACAGCATAAAATAACATGACAGGTGTGTCTTAATGATTGCAAAAACATTAAAACAATGTTAACTTTATGTTATGTGGGTTCTATTGAACATTTGCTTCTACCGGTAATAAAGAAAATAAGGTAGATGCATTCTTCAACTGTATCATCAACTACTATATTCTACATAATATTATATATATAATATTCTATTACAGTATTGTAGGCCCTTGGCCTTATATACAACAAAAAGTTCACAAAAACAAAGGAATGATCATGCCATCTTAATCAATATTAGAAATAATATTGTCTCTTAATTTGAAACCATAGAATATACACTTAGATAAAGACAGAAACAGGTTATGAGAATTTAGAAATGAAATGAAATACATTTATTTTTTATTGGTATTTGTAATAGTAATCGACTATATTCATGGACACTGACACCAAATGGACATAAAAGAGTATAAAATTCACTACAACTGAGCATTAAGAAAAACCAGCAATTTTGACCCAGAATATTTTTAGTTCAAAAATTAAATTAAGAAACTAGGAATTTGGATGTCAATTTGGCATTACCATAAAAACTTTGACCACATTTAAATACTGATATTTTTGAAAAAATTAATTAACAGCTTACCGTTATCTTTAAGAAGCCTCTCTAAATATTCTTTGTCTGAGTAGAGTTCACCTAACAACTGTTTACAAGTCTTATCTGAAGTCTGACTTTTCTGTCGTCTATCCTTTTGTTTGCCACGATCATCCTGCTTAGCAGCTGGTTTGCTGTAGCCTGGTTTGGCTTTCCCTTTGGGTTGTTTCTATAAGTGATATGTAAAAAGTACATCTTATCATTGCATGATTCAGGAATGTAAACCTGCACTGTGCAATTTTTTATACAATGTCTGAATTTAGAAAATAATATATTATTGGCAGCAGATAATGTACATGTATAAGGTTATCACAAGAATACACTATGGTAGTCAGGACATCTACCAATACATCCTGTCTAGGTGTATTCTATATGGTGTTTTAATACATTTATTAACATTCCTGGTCAAGCCCAGAACAAGGCAAAACAGTGAAATATGTTTGGTGATTCACTTCATTCAGCAGCATGTCAACCATCTTGAATATATCATGCTGTTCTTTATTTTTAAAATGCATAGTAACATACTTTTGAAACAGGATTTTCCTAAACTTGCTCATTTACAATCTAATTTACATGGCTGATATACCGGTACAACAACAACTCGAGTAACAATAAAAAAACTGAGTAATGGTGTGAAAAGGCACTGTCAATGCCAGATCAGTGCCAATCAACAGTGGAAGGACCCTGCCCTGGTAAACCAGAGAAATTCAGGATACCGCTATATACGATAAAATATATAGCAATGTACTTGCCATATAAGCCTATGTATGCCTAAGCTGAACAACAGCTGATAATCATGAGATTAGATATTAAGTCAGCTGAGGTTAGATTCGTGGCTTAGACTATTCTATTGGAAATGTGCTTATAATAAATATGTACCGGGGGGTAATATGGTAAGTAGATTGCATATCACATGGAAACTCTGGAATGGGGTTTACATTCCAAGATTTGAATGGGATTTACATGTATGTCATGAGTGGATACGGATATTCAAGGATGGGAATATGGAAGTCATTTGGGGTCGGAAGCGGATAACTGCAGGATCAGATCAGGAAGACCGGTGGCACCCAAACCATGCATCGGTATATGGGTGACATCTGAACGTCTTACCCGCATCCCTGGCCTTGTTATTTTGGGACGTTGTTGCTGCTGCTGCTGTTTTTGACGAGTTGTTTGTTGCTGTTGTTGCTGCTGTTGGTCTGGTTCCTCCTCAACTGGCTTGACAATCTTTGGGTGTATTTTGTTTAATTTGTGAGAAATGATTCAATTCTTTAGAATTGATTCCTAATTTTTATCCCCACTTTAAATTAATTATAAATTCATGCACATTCTTATTTGAATGATTAAGTTACAAAAACGTGCAGAGAGGGAGTTTAAAATTATAGTTAAGAACCTTGAAAAAACAGGAATACGGTTCAACTACCTCTACATGACAGAGAGATAATACCATGCTATCAGTGGGTAGCAAAATTATTTTAAATTTAACTCAGATAGAAAGAAGTGAGCATGCATGAACATAGACACTAAACAGCAATGATGCAGCAAATTTTGTGTTTTCATACACACATATCCACTTATGTCTATGTCTCTGTCACAGTCTTATTGGTAGATTTATTCTTCAAATATTCCTATATTTGATCAGAATGTAAATAATATAACACTCAGGATTGCAACCACTACAATGCAAATCAAATTTGTTGGGGGAAATTACACAATTTATAGCATTTGGCTTATTTTAATTTGTTTCATTATTTGTAGAATCAATTTATTTAAATTCATTAACAAATCAAATTGAATTCATGGTGTGCATCAAAGAAACACAGCATATATCCAGCTGTATGTACAGTGAATCTACTGTATTGTGTCTATGACAAGACCCACAAATTATTCAAATAAACTATAAAAACAGTGAATCTTTATAGTTATAAATATTGATATATTCAACTAAACAATATACATTCTTTAGCTGTACTATTTTATAACCAAAAGAGAAATATTTAGGGTATATATTAAATGAGCATAAAGCATTTTCTATTTCATTCCATATCACACCTCACTAGTCAATAAATAGTTCAGGCATGTTTTCAAACATTTTCTTCTTTAAACTACTTAAAAAATATATATTAGTAATTTTAATAAATCAGATCAAATTTAAATTGAACAAAACAGAATTGACTTTAATTTTGAAGTTGAAAGTTGCCTTCAAATATCAAAGAATAGATTCTTTATGAATTGAAACATGTTGTAAAATTCAAATTTAGGAGATTTTAATTCTACACTGGTTACTCCAAGTGGTATGGAAAAAATGTGCAATACAGAAATAATACATGGTTCAACTTACCTCATCTTGTTTGTAGAAGAATGATAGATCACCTTTGTTTTCTAATTTTACTTTGGCTGGACCTGAAAAAATTAATGGAGATGTGACAGTGAATTACTGTATACTCTTTAGCAGCTATCTGTTTACATGATTTGATATTTTGATGGTATTGGTGATGATGAATATTTTGTGACAGTCAACAAAACTTGCTTGTCTTAAAAGCCCTTTATATTAAATACATGTTTATTGAGTATGCATTAAACAGTGTTTACGACATGAATCTTGTTCGTTTATCATGTGACTTGGTGTGACGCAGTCTTTAGTTTGTCGCCATCTTGAACAGTTTAGTTTTGATTTTCTCAGAGTTCAAATTCACTTGAATTTACTGCTCACAACTATATTTCGAACACCATGGAAAGTAACATTGTAAGGTTGGCACAGATCCGGCTCCATCCACATCCGCTGATGCAAGTTTGGGACGTTTGACTGCTACAATTCGTCAACTTAGAGTCAAGGTTTCAACAAATTTTGGTATATACTGTATACATGTACCCTTGATTTTTATTTGTGCTTTTTCATTCATTT